CCACGTGGCGACGTGAAGTTCTCCAACCGCTCCTGGAATTAGGTGGCTCCCACCACACTAAAGGGGTGGGCATACTGCCATTCCACCCCCTCTCTCAGTCTTATATTGGCCTCCACCGTCAACACTTAGTTCTAGGTCCCCAGCTAGTGCCTGAGTCACGTATAAGGGAGGCAAGAGGAAGAAAATGCCCTATTTATACTTATTCGAAGCATATGTGTTGTCCCAAGCTTATTAGGTGGTGAGAAGCAGAACATCAAATCAGAAAGAGCAGGGGCTTTGCAGTCAAACAAATCTAGGCTTGAATCCTACCTAGCTCCCCCATCTCCAGCTGAGTAACTTTGGGTGACTTATTTAACCTCTTCCAGTCTCAATTTCTTTATGTGTACAATACAATAATAACAGCATTATATTATAGGGGTGTTGCAAAGATAAAATGAGGCAATATCTGATAAGCACTTTGCTTAGTATCTGCCATTTGACTAGTACTCCAGATAGGTGGTCCTTTGTTGCTCCTGTGGCTCACTGCAGATAACAGTGCAGTAAACCTTTCCTGACACATCCCAGGGAGGGACCTTCATATTGTATTTTTAACTATTCTTATATGTTAAAATAATCACTCTAGTCAATATTTTATAATTGCATCAAAGAGGAGGGTTCAGTTCAGGACTCATGATAAGAGTCTTCTTATTGTTTTAGGGTCTTCCTAATTACACTACTGGTCTGTGTGACCAAAAATTCAAGAACCGAAGATGAGGCATATCATCTAACCAGAATATTGTGGCTGTGAGACGCCATTATCTTTTACTATGCTGCACTCATAACTGACATGCTATTACAATTAGGCATTTTATGAGACTCGAAGGGAACAAATCAGCAGTATGGAAGTATTCTTTACTCACATAAAAATAAACAGAAGAGCAGGCACAATGATCACACCATGAAGAAGCCGGGGTTGGAAAGGAGCTGGGAAACAGGGACTCTTGCACTGGACACATGGACTGTGTCCCACAGAGAACATTAAAAAACTCTGAGATGTTTGCTGAGAGCCCAGAATGTAAATCGCGTGCCTAAGTGTATGGCCAGCTTAGTGGGAATCAGCTTCAAGGTGCTGTTTTAAAACAGGTGTGTAGTGTGCAGCGGCTGAGATGGAAGACGGGGGATGTAAGAGCATATAACCCAGGACCCTTTTGCTCAGGTAAGTGAGGCCCTCTGTGCTGTCTTCTATGAGGGGCTTGCAAGCAAATAGTACAATTAAGAAGGGTTCTAGGAAGACCAATTAAAATGACTGAATGTCTAAGAAATCTACCCTTGTTTACATAGCCTGGGTAAGGCCACGCAAGCTCTTGAGAATGTGAAAGGAATGTCGGGGCAATGGTAAGCATCTGTCTTCTGTGTTACTGAGGACAGAATATAAGAAAATGGACTTTGTGTTGTAACATGAGAGTTAGGAGAGACAGGAAAAGAAACTACCTATGGAAAAAGTTGAGATACCAAAACATTTATTAAATGGAATGTGTATGTGTTTTCTGGCTATACATGGAGAAAACCAAACAGTTAACTCAGTTCCAGTTTCATGGTTTTTTAGTTCCATGGAGGCTGATGGGCAAGATATCTCTTTTCCTATTTCCAGATTCTTTCTTTTAATTAAAATCTCCTATGATTATATTTGGCCTACATTTATCCCAGTGAACACTATTACCAAAAATGGCAAACTTTCCATAGAGAAAAATTGAGGTAAACTTTACATGACATAAAATTCACCATTTTAACTATTTCAAAGTATGCATTTCAGCGACTTTGAGTACATTTATATTGTTGTGCAACCATTGACACTATGCAGGTCCAGAACATATTCATTACCCCAAAGAAGCCCTGTACCCATCAGGCAGTTACTACCCGTTCTCTACTCCACTCACTGACAACTACTACGATGCTTTCTGTCTCTGTGGATTTGCCATGGGAATATATTTCTGTAAAAATTTTCTTAACTCTGCATTTAATTTCCTAACTAGAAACTGTAGACTACTGAGTGTATCTCTCTGTGTGTGTGTGTGTGTGTGTGTGTGTGTGTGTGTGTGTGAGAGAGAGAGAGAGAGAGAGAGAGAGAGAGAACAAAAATCAGAGTCAGCATTTATGAGACACTGCATGGTCAAATCTATTTGAACTATTCAAACCAAAGGAAACTGGAGAGAATACTTATTTTTCAGTTAGTGTCTGTAATATAAATTAGATGTCACAGGTAATAGAAATGTCAAACTGTTCTTAAAATATGCCATAACATTGAGAGAGGCTTTTGAATGACAATGTGGCTTTATAGTATCTAAGTCAAGTCAAAATGTTTCACATGCAGCAAAAGCTCTGTCCCAGATCAGAGCCCTTCCTATAATAGTTGATGATAGCTCCATAACTTTTATTTAGAGCAGTGTAGTAGTGACCATTCTTTACTCTGCATTTGTCCTTGTGAGCACTTCAGCTAAAGCAGAGGAACCTGGAGATGCCTGACTGATAAGTGAAAAAGCAACTTCAAAATAAAATAAGAAAACCCTTCTTATTTGCCAAGCATATGTACTTATCAATTTTAAATTAGAATATATATTTTATTCTAGCTGGAATTTTAAAAGTTAGTTAGTCTAGCCACAAACTTAGTAACTTTGAAAATGAACTGAAAAATTGTTTTTAGGGAAACTGGAAACTTTTTTTTTTTTGTAAATGGATTTAAAACTCACATGGCTTTCTTAGTTTTGATTACATTAACAGGCAAGTTGTGTTTTCTGACTTCTGGAAAAAATACATAAGAGTTTCAAAAGGAATCTTAATTTTCAACCAGTCAAATGATTTCTGGAAGAAGGAACAGCCAGGAGTGTCTTGTGATTTAAGTAGTGCTTCATCATCGAGATGTCAAGGCCAGGAGATTACTGTCATTTTGCACGGATTTTGAGGATTTTTATTCTAATTTCATTTTCAATTCCTTTCTTATTTCATGAGCCCTAACGAATATATCTTGACTGTTCCCATTAATAAAGATTTAGAATTCCCTGCCAACATTCAGACACCTCACTGCTCTCGATGTTATGGATTTTGCTTGCTTTCTTTCCAAAGTATCTTTTCTACATGATTCAGCGTGGTCTCCTATCTGTTCTTTTCACCATTCTCTTAGTTTTGGCTTCTGGGAACACCTCGGTGACAGTGGAAAACAATCTCCAGATCACATTTTGAGGAATACATTCACTTAGCTACTATTCCCACAAACACCTCTCAGGCAGTGTTGCCCAGAAGTAATTTTTTTTTTTTTTACAACCAACTGAGCCTTCTTTAAGGCGCCTAGAAGTTGGCAACAGCACCACACTCCTCCCACAGCGTGGAAAAACTAATGCACAGTACTCAGAAGTCCTTGTTGTTAAGGGACACTTACGCGGCAAATGTGCAAACATCATTCTCCTTTGTGCTCTGCTTGAGGATCAAAAGTCATCCCCAGTAAGAGACACCCCACACGTGGAGGGCTTCTTAACTCATCAGTTTCCTCCTTCTGCGTGTCCCTCAAAGGAGCCTGTCTTGGTTTCCTTCTCAAGGACATGCCGATACCATGACCCTATTCTCCCAACTTGAAAAGACAACCCAAAATCCTCTAGGAGTGAAGCGAAAGGACTTGGAAGTGCTGTGGAAAGGTGGGGAAAGAGGGTTTGAAAAGGAAAAAAAAAAGCAGTTAAGGGTAGTAGCTAAACTGTAAAGCCCCTATCTCTGTCCTCCAGACCACATCCCAACTGAATCCAGCAGCACCCCGCCCGTCGACCTGTGGGCTCCTGATTGAAAGTTCTGATACTGAGCATATATTCAAGCGCGTCTCTGTTCTATACTGGGTGTCCGCCCGGCCTGTGCTCACTGTATGGAATCTGTTTGTAGTTTCAATGTGTAGGGTCCATTCCTGGAGTTTCGGCGAGTTTGAGAAAGGTAAGCTAATGGGGCTTGGCAATAGGGGCTGGTATGCCCAGGAGACAAGGCGGGGGCGGTAGGGGATGGAGGGTGAAAAGCCATTGGGAGGTTTAAGTCTTGTGTTCTTTAGAATCATTCACCTGCCCTTTGGGGAGACCGCGCAGAAGGGCTTTATCTGGACAGGGACTGACCCAGGGGCCCGACTGGGATAACCGGTATTCCTGGTCACTAACTACCCGTCGGACCCTGTGGCCTGTGCAGGGGACGCGGGGAGCAGACGCGCAGGTGGGGGCGGGGCGCGCGGGCGCCGAGGAGACTGAGGCTGGGAAGGGAAATAAATGCCTGGGCTGCTTCCTCCGGCAGCTTCGCCAAGAAGCGTTTGAAGACCCGAGTCTTAGGCCGGGGTGGGTCTCTAACTCGCTGTTGGACTCCTGTCCTTTCCAAGCCAACGTTTAATCCTCTGAACAGAGCTAGACTCTGATCTTTGGGGCCCTTCCTGCCCTTTGATTCTGGTTCTTCCAGGGAAGCCCTGCTATGCAGTCCTGGGAAGAAAAGGCATTCTCTGCCGCAGGCGGGCTAGGACGGGAAGGCCAGGAAAGCGGCCGTGTGACACGGATCATGTTCCTTACGCACCTGTATTAAAAATTATTTTTGTTTAAAAAAATGGATACCCCAAGCTCAGTGGGCGTCCGGAGGCCTCCCACTGCCCCGCCCGCCAGGTGGTGGGTGCGAAGCGCGGGGCTCTGCGCCCAGCCCCTGCCCGGCGCCCGCGCCGGGCCCGAGCAGCGGCCTCCCCTTCCCCGCCCCCTGCTCTTCCAGATCCCCCCTCTCCGGCTCCCCGGAGCGCCGGGACACGCGGGCAGTGGAGTTCGCACGTCCTTTGCAGCCAGTGGGGCGTCGGAATCGCCGGCGGGCAGCAACTGGAGAGACGGGCGTGGAGGCCGCACCGCGCTGGGGTCAGCGGGCGCCGGGCCGCGCGCCGCGGGGACGCCCGGGCGGCCCTGAAGGGGAGGGGCGCCCGGGCCGGTGGGAGGGAGCTCCGCCCCGAGGCCGTATAAAGAGCTGGGCCGGCCCTCGGCGGCGGTGGTGGCGGTGGCGCACAGGGGCACCGACAGGTCTCCCGGGGCCTGTGGAGTCTCTCTCACCTGCTACCATAAGGCTTTGCCTTTCCAACTTCAGCTACAGTGATAGCTAAGTTTGGAAAGAAGACCAAAAGGATATCCCCGGGCCGTTTTTCTTTTGTTCATTTGCCGCAGTTGTCGTTGGGGTCTTTTTTGCACGAGGCTGTTGTGTTTTTAGTGGTGCTTTTTTCAGTTCCTTGCACTCCTGCTAACAAAGCACCTCATCCAGAGCAGCAGTAGCAGCCGAGGAGCCAGCGGGGAGCACCTGGTGTCATGACCAAGGCGAGAGAGCAACACCGCCGGGGAGGATGCTGCGGTGAGTGGACCGAGCTCAGGGGGTGGCAGCACAGGCTGGGCGCTGGAGACCCGCGTCTTCAGGCGGGTTTTGGAGGGGAATGGAACTGAGCTGTGAGTGCTGTGTAGTTCGTTTGACTCATATTTTGGTGAAGGTTGAGGAAGAAATGAATTTCAAGGTATGGGAAGAGGGGCTTGCACGCAGGCAAGGACGGAGCGACTGAACAGTTCGGATTGCCTTTTTTTTTTTTTTTAATGGATTTAAAGAATGTTGACATACAGCTTTCTTCACTGTATTTGAAGTTAGGCAGTTATTGGTCAGCTAAATTGAAGTGAATGTTGACGTTACAATGTACCTGGTTTGCCCCATGTATATTAAAATAGTTTTTAATAATCGTGTTTAACAGTCCTTTTAAATGCGTACATTTTCCAGCCTCTTTTCACTCCAGTGACAAAACTATGCTTTTGATCTGCCCATGTTTTTCCAGGATCCTTAACAAACTACCTGACCTCGGCAAAATTCCTTCTCTACGTTGGACACTTTTTATCTACTTGGGTAAGTGGGTGTATACAGTAATTCTTTCAACATTCTTTCACAATATCTTGTTTCCTTCTACTTGGGCCAGTTGATTTAGACATCTTCCAGTTTTGTCATGCAGCTAAAGAAGTAAATTATCCAAACACCTGCTTTAATGAAAAAGTTTTTTATCAACAAGAGTATTGCTCCCTAGGTATTAGTAAATGTTATTTAATTATCAGATTGTAACACTTCATATAAATTGACAAATATCCAAAGATAGCATTAACTAGGACAGTAATATTTGCATTGTTTGTAAATTGCATTTTGCATCACTAAGCTTAGTAAATGGTAATATCTGCTAAGAGTGGATGGACATCTCATATACCTTCTATTCTTTCACATTCTAAGATATTCCTATTTTCTTCTTTTGTTACATTTGCAAGTTTCAGCATACTGCACTATGAAAATACAGAATAGTGGAGTGACTGACTTAAGCCAAAAGTAGATTTCTAAGATTAATTTAAATGAAATTGATCCTGACACAAATATCCATGTGATGAAAATTCTGGTCTTTAAGAATGTTACATTATAGGTGGATATGTGTGGGGCTTCTCAGGCTATCTTGAAATCATCATCCAATGAGACTTATCAACTGATTCATAATTTTTACTCTGACTTCCTGTGTGGGCTTGGAAGAGTCCCAGTGTTTCTGTGGGCCTGGTTTCTTTCATCAACTCCCCCTGCCACACACCCCCCCACAAAAAAAATATATATATAAATAAAAAGAAGAATCCCAAATGGATGTTGGGTATGTATTTAATTAATGGTGATTAGACTCTTCACAATTAAATAATTATTCATAATGTTTAAAAGCAGTAAAGTTGAGTATGTTCTATTCATGCCTTATATATGAAATTTAAATAGAAATAACCACAAGTAAAGAGAAAGAATTTTGAGAGTAAATTTTATGAATGTTGCTTACTTTTTTAATTGGAAACTTATACTGGGTCATCCTTAAGACATGAATGTGCACTATTGCATGAGAAAATCTCTACCCATGCCCTTGGGAAATTATTAAGCTAGGTTATCAGCTCCTTAAGAAACAGCAATTCAAAGATGGCCTTTTTAGGAGGATGGGCTCCTTCCTGTCTTCCCAGAGGCTTAAACAGGGATAACTGCAACTACGTGTGAGCAAAGTGGACTTGGTGTGGATTTCTTTCATTTCCATGGCTGATGATTCTAAGTAGAAATCTAGTGAAACTGCCCTCAATGAATCTAAATCAGTAGTTTTTCCATTTTAATTCAGTAAGTATTAAGTATTGAAAAAAACAATAACAAGTGATGAAGACAGGATCTGAAATTCTTCTCCTGTGACAATGTCTCACTTCCAAATACTGATAAGTTAAGGGTTTCTGTGACCTTTTGTTAATAGGTTGGGAGGTCAGATTTGCTAAAACAATGGAACTGTGGTTGTTCCAGGAGGATTTTGTTTGTCATGTTAATTAACAGTCCCACAGCAAAGTAAGATATGCTTACCTTACCACAGTCTTACAAGTAAGTTGAGCAAAGGGAGTTCTTGTGGGAAAATTGTATTTAAAAACAAACAACTACAATCATATAAGGTTCAGAGGATTTTTACTTCTTTTCAGTGCAAAAGAGCGTGAAAAGGGAGTGGCTTTCTAACTCTAAATAATTCTGCCTCCTGAGTTTTGCATCCTGTTTGACATTCTGTCTGATTTTATTATGAGAAAATGTGTTTATGTTTATACATCTATCTATCTGTTCCCCTGCAACTCTGCCAAACCATGGTTTTCCTGTATGCTGAATATAGAGGTATTAGAATAGGAGGTTATATGAAGTTAGATTTGAGTAGGGCTGAATGCTTATTATTTCTGACTTGGTTTCTATCTGCCAATGGATTAATACTTTTTACTCTATACCATCAGAATACAAAGTACTGTAATAATTTGGTTCTGTCAAGGAACTTATAATATAGTTTAATAAGAGCTTTTAAATATATCTAATAACAAAAAGATAACTAATATTGTGGGGCAGTGAAAAGGGTAGCTAGGTGCTTATATCTCATGTCATTATCCTATGAACTATCTCTGTTTGTATCCCAGACGTCTGCATAACTCCAGCCCTCACTTTCTTCAGGTCCTTGCTCATTGTGGTCTCTGTCACTGTCTCATGCAAAATGCCACCTTCCAAACCCGTCCTACTTTATTTTTTCTCATAACATTTTACTCTGCTTGACCTATTCTAGATTTATTTTTGGTTTTTGCTCACTGAGATGCAAGCTGCATGAAAGCATGGACCTTGATTTTTGTGCATTGCTGAATTTCTGATGCCTTCATAGTAGCCTTTCAATAACGATAAAGTAGACTAATGACTGTGATTATTCATTCACAGATACTCAGTTGGTCTTCAGCTCTTAGTCCCCTGGTGTAGATGGACATGTAAGCAAATCATCAAAGTATGGTGAGAGCTTATGGGAGGGCAGGACATGGGCATAAAGGAGAAATGCAATTGCACTTGGTTAGTATTTATTCAGAATTTATCCGATTTGGGGCTTTTTGAGCATATAATCTGTCACTTCTTAAAACCAAAATCCTTTGGAAATTGGAGTAACTGGAGCAATTTTATTCCCCTCCATCAAGGAAGTGGCATGTCATACAGGGATATATAAGATAGAAAATTTTCATTTAATAGCACTTGTTTTGATGCTCTGGAGTAGGGTTGTCCAACCTGTGGCCCACAGGCGATGTGCAGCCTAAAATGGCTGTGAATGCGGCCCAACACAAACTCATAAATTTACTTAAAACATTATGAGATTTTTTGTGATTACATCACAATAAATTTAATGTGTGGCCTAAGCCAACTCTTCTTCTTCCAGTGTGGCCCAGAGACAGCAAAAAGTTGGACACCCCTGCTAGAAGAAAGTAAAACTAATTCCTGTGGGGAAAAGATAGGACTAAAAAACACAAAAAAGAAAGAAACAATGGTAGTGCATAATATTTCTTACTCTTGAGGTTAAGAAAGAGGAAATTCACTCATAGCAGCAACCTGTTATTTGGGGTTGGGCATTTATGTGTTTTAGTTTTTTCCTTGGGAGCTATTCAGAGGAATGGAGACTAGAATCAAGTACCTTGATCCTCATCGTTAATTTGTTCTGGAACTTGTGATGAGTGCCAAAACTGTTGAGTACCAAACGATGAAGCATTTTCTCTTGTGGGGCAGCGTCATGACTCATATAAGTTCTAGCAAGTGTGACAAGTCCTGAGCAAGCACTGAGCCTGAAACATTTTTTTCCTCATCAGAATGGACAAGTACAGGGTTTGATGAGAGTTTTGAAGCGAATACTGAGGTATGACTGTACCTCCTCTCTTCCCATCCTGCTTTATTCTAATCAAATCTGAATTCGCTCCTCATAAGAAAGATTAGGAGAACGGTTGAATTTGCTATTCTTATTAACATCTTTATCTTAATATATAAACTTGTTTTTTAATTGTTTTCAAGCAAATTGGGGTATATCATAACATTTTAAATTAATTAGTACAATTGTATTTGAAATTGAATTCCTACTGAAGTGGAAAAATTTATTATCAAAGCAAACTTTAAAAAATAGCTCTCTCAGGAATATTAATCATGGTACAGATTAATTGTCAAACTTTTTGAACATTTGCAGAACAAATCCAATGTATTAGAACAGTATAGTTGATGAATCAGTCTATGTTTTTGCCCCCTATTCTGTATTCACTCATTCACAACTGGGATCCACTGCATAGCTACTCTTTTGTTGATTCCACAGCTACTTGTTATGCATCTAATCCAGGCCATGCACTGTGCTAAGGGTTGAGAGTGCAGAAGGCTCTAGAGCTCACATTCCAGACCATCAAAGTGAGACTCAGTTTTTCAACTGAGCTGAAAAGCAACATGGTGCTTCCAGTGTTCGTTTGTTTTCATGTTTACTTGACTACATCCACCCCACCCTGTATGGCCCTAGTCTTACGTCAGTTTTGAATTGTGGTCTAAATTATGTTCATAATCTATACCAGGGTTTCTTTACCTTGGCACTATTGACATCTCCAGCTGAGTAATTCTTTGTTGTGGGGGACTGTCCTGTGCATTGTAGATGCCAGTGGTACCCCCTCCCCTCAGTTGTGACAACCCAAAACAGCACCATACATTGCCGGGTGATCCCTGAAGGGTAAAATCACAGCCCACTCTGCTCCCCTTGAAAAATACTGGTATACATAAAATTTATTATAAACCATTGCCAGTGTGCGTGTGCACCAATTTAAGTTTTAAATGCTTAAGATTGTAGACGTGGCTTTATAAATATTCAAACTCATTTGACATACCGGGATAATATTTTGCTCCTGACATATTAGATTTATCAAAAAGATGTTGATAGACTTTGGAAGGAACTGGGATCATAAGTACTTCCCTGTAGGGTCAAATCCATAAGGAATCTAGCCTGGAAATTTGGTTTCCTGTAGTGATTTCCAGGGATAGAACATTGTTGTCCTGTTTTATGTTAACCTGTTAGTCAGGAAAGGAGCCAAAAACCTCATAATAAGGTCTGCTTATAGATTTCTTACACATTAATTTACCTCACTCATTTAAAAGTTTGTCATTCCACATTATGCAGTAGTGAATGCCTAAATTCCCTTTACACTATGGAGTGAAGAAATAAGTAGTTTACCACCCCCTTTCAAAGCCCATCTGTATTAAAATATAAAATAGCTACTTGTTTATTTCTGGTATCTTCATTTATGCAGTGCTAGAATCTGCCCATATTACTTTTATGTTTCTGATTGCCCTGCTGTTTTATGGCTTTGAAATTTGTTTGTGGAATAGAGCTTAGATTTTAGAATATTAGAGGTAAAAGAAGCTTTAGAGATGATAGTAGTTCATTCGTATTTTACAAATTAGGAAACTGACTTTTTATTTTTATATATTTTTTACATTCAAGACATACTGATGTTTATGAACTATACTCGTAGTTTAATTCTGATTCAGTAGCAAAGTGCTTCAGGATAGGTAAATTCCAGGCTCAGATAGAAACTTCACACACAAGAGAATAGTTTTGTCTTAAAACACCTTCTTGGGTCTGGAAACTGCTTGTTTTCTAGAATGAAAAGGACTATACATATTTTACTAACCATGCTTTTTCGGGTTTATTTAGCCCTTGGGCAAGAATATTTTCCATTGTGCCAGGATGAACAGTTTTGTTGCCTGACCAGCATTCAATCCACAGAGGAATTAACCTTGAAAATCTTATGATGTAGCCAGAAAGTGCCCTTTTGATAAGGAAGCAGCTTCCTGAGTACACTTGGCTGGAAACCAAAACTATTTCAGCGAAACATTTTCTGTTCTCTCATTCCAGGGAGATCGGATGTGGCACTTTGCCGTCTCTGTGTTTCTGGTGGAGCTCTATGGGAACAGCCTCCTCTTGACTGCAGTCTACGGTCTGGTGGTGGCGGGGTCGGTTCTGGTCCTGGGAGCCATCATTGGTGACTGGGTGGATAAGAACGCCAGACTTAAAGGTGAGTGTTGTTATGGCTCTCTTTGTATTCATGGGACCAGTGCCTGTGCTCAAGAGAAAACACTGGGGCTAACTCACTGCAGGCCTGCATGCCACTCTTGAGAGGTGGGGAGGTGGGTGGCCGCACTTCTGCATGGAGGGTTCTTGCACAGGGTTAGGATGGCAGGATATTGAGCTGATAAATTTCCTTTTTGGGTATCTTGGCTATTAACAAAGTTGTGATGGTAATGATTAACACCGTAGCACTTTTCTGAGAACCATGTTAAACATTGAAAGTTTACTCTGACATTCTTCCTAACTGGGACATACACTGGAGTCTTTTTGTGTGAGGTTTCTGGGACAGCTTTGACGCGTGCCCTCTGGCAACTGCACTTCACAGGGAGGCGTGTGCAGGGGAATTGAAAACTGTAGCTTCAGGAGAGAATATCTCAGTCCGGAAATGTGGATCACAGAAAGCTGTAAGGGAAAAGGAGAAATAATAGTATAGTAACATTTAAATCTAAAGCCTTAATACAGAAATCTTCCATTTTATATGGGAATGAGAGAAAGTGGTTGAGCAATTCAATTATTAAGACTAATAGGACAAACGTTTCCTGGGTTGGTCAGTAGATAAGGCCAAGGCCTGGCTGAGTTAGTCCTAGATGCTGGAGAAAGAGGGAGATCTCTTTCGTTTCTTTCAATGTAAGATGACTGCTCCTGCGTAGAGAGCCCTTGGATTATCAACTTCTAGGACTTGATGCTGTTAGAGAAGTGGTCAAGATGGACATTTTCCTGCTTTGAGAATTAATAGACCAAAATACATATAGAAGACAGTTTTGTGTCCTAAAAAATTCCTAGTTATCTACGTCATTGTGCACAGGAACATAGGAATATTACGCATACAGATCTTCAACCTTGTGATTATTGAGCACTGGTTAGAAAGAATGCCGAGTTGGAGGACAGTGTGGCGGGCGGGCAGTCTCTCATTGGGGTCCCATGTAACCGACTTGTTTGTTACCCTCCATGAAAATCCTCTCTGAGGTCTCCAGGCTGAGTCAACCATTTCTTCCTCTGTGCTCCCATCAGGCTTAGTTAATACCTCTGCTATTCTACTTGTATTCTGGTGATTATCTATTCCCATGTCTGTCCCTCCTCTGGTCTGTGGGGTCCTGAAAGCTAAGCTCATTCAGTTCATATGTAATCCTTGTGCAATGAGTGAATGCATCGAGTAAGTTACACGTTATCATTTTATTTCAAATTGATTTCAAAAAGCAGTTTTTTTTTCTTGAGGCTTTGATATGACCTTCCAAGCCAGAATGAGCTTCACTGTCCTTAAAGACAAGAGCTATAATTATACCTTATATACACAACTCTTTATGTTTTTCAAAGTGCTTTAATAAGTATTTTATTTGAGCATCATAATGACTCTGTCAAGTAAGGAAGGCAGGTGCGTACTGGCATTCTCACCTTCTAGACGCAGGTGTAAGAGACGCTAGGTATCCTGTTCTAGATCCTCTCCCTCAGTAAGGGGCAGGACAAGGACTACAAGGTGTCTTTACCTGTGTATTTACCTGTCCTTACTCCAGCACTTTATCTGTATAGGTGCTTCACTCTAAGAAAGTAGGTATTTTCTGTGAGGAAAGGTATAGATTAGAATGTCAGCAATGACAAACAGCATTTGGGTACCACAAGAAACACACTGCTGCTGTATTCCTGAGACATGTTTACACGTCTTTTCTGTTTATCCATACTATCTTATCAGATGCAGCCTGCCGTGTCGGAGGTTACGGAGTCCATAACCTCTTCCTTAACCTCCTTCACCACTTCCTACGGGTTCTTATTTTAGCTTAAGCAGCAAAAGGCTGGGAGGTGGATCTTGTCTATGTAATATAGTTTGTTCATGGTAGCAAAGTTTCACGAGGATAAAGTAAATGAAAATGTGGTCATTCTGAATGGCTTCTACTAACAAAGAAGAAAAATGATGGGTACTTCATCACTTTGTCTACGAGTTTTAGCAGTGGTGCATGTATGATCGGGTGGGTTGGCCTGGGAATATTTGAGGCAGGGTTTACTTCAGGAATGTTTTAGTTTTATTTTCTGGAGTAACTTGCATATGCATTAAGGTAATAGAAGAGTGTTGTAGAGATAAAACAGCCCCGTTGAGACATTTTGGTGCAGTGTGTAGTGAGCGCTTCGTCTCTCCCTCTGTACAGTGGCCCAGACTTCGCTGGTGATACAGAATGTGTCGGTCATCCTGTGCGGAATCATCCTGATGATGGTTTTCTTGCATAAAAATGAGCTTCTGATTATGTACCATGGATGGGTTCTGGTAAGCTCTCAATGTGACTCTTGATGGCAGAAAATTGAACTTCTGGTAGTAGTAAAAAAATGAAAACCCTTTGAGGCTAGGGAGTATCTTTTTTTTTCAAGTGGGACCACTTAATATTGATCTTCGTGTCTATATCCCTGTGCTAATATCCCTGAATTTTTTTTGCCATAACAGGATTCATTAAGTATTCTTTGAGTTTAAATTTTGTCCTATTGGATTTTTTTCAGTAGCATTTCTAAGAATTTATTATATAATTTAGTTTTCAGCTCATTAGTATTAAACTATAACTTGTTCATACTACATAAGAAATGGTTTAGATACATAAATCAGTCCTAATTGTGTTCTCCCATTAAAAATTGGCATTGTTTTGGGGTGGTGGGGAACATGGACTAAATGGTTTCTCACCCAATGGTTGTACAATAACTTTATGGAAAAGAGGGAGGTGGGATGTGGTAGAAAGTAATGGGTTTGATGTCACTACTAAATGTTTTTGTGCAAATTTGGATTGGTATTGTAGAATTTCAAAGTCATATATGGCAGTAGAAATCTTCTAGTCTCTTTCTCTTCTTTGTTGATGAAAAAAATAAGACAAAATAATGTTAGCTGATTGCACATTGCTGTACAACTAGAAAGAGTCAGAACTCTCACTTAAATACAGGTCTTCTCACTTTCCCTTCATTTTTTTCCAAAGGAGATACCTGTGGGGGAAACATTAAAAACTATGCCTATTTAACACTTCGTAACAATTGTCACATAAATATGCATAGGACTATTATAGTTTTTATATAATATATGCTACAGATGATATGGATTAAGAAGATACTCTGTTCTTTAACTTGACCAGTGGGATTTATTGTTTCATGTGTACAAAGTAAAATGGTCGGTTATAAACGATATTAAAATCAAAGTTTGATTATTATGCCACCAAAGACCATTTAAAAGTGCATTGCACATTGAAGTGTAGGCAGGGTGTGGTAAAACTGACGTTTTAACTCACCTTCTCCCCATGATTTCTTAGACTTCCTGCTATATCTTGATCATCACTATTGCAAACATTGCCAATTTGGCCAGTACTGCCACGGCAATCACCATCCAAAGGGACTGGATTGTTGTTGTTGCCGGAGAAGACAGAAGCAAATTAGCAGGTGATTTGATTTTCTCTTTCAGCTAAATGGGTCATGTTATGATTCACTTTTAATCAGTAATAAATGAGACTGCAAGCCTTTTTTCCTGGGTACTTTTTAAGGGCAATAAATTGAAAGTACAATCTTTTACTTACCACATTATCAGTCTCGGTGCAAAGATTTATCTCAATGCTATGAAGTTAATTTATAAGATAGTGAACTTTTAAAAAAATTCTATGCAAACCTGACAAATGGAAGAACATGTCTGTTGAGCTGTTTAAAAATTCTGTTAACTGTTTCTAAATGTTTACTTAATACTTAAAACATTGAAATTTTCACATAGGATTTTATTGGTTATACTATGGATATTGTTACCAGTACTTTTAAGTTATGCTATGGATATTATTTTCTCCAAACCAAATGGAAACAACTTAATTCTAGGAGAGACTCTTCCAGTTAATTCCTTCTACTTTAAAGGTATAATCTCTAACTTTTTTTTACATTATTTATGATGTAATATAATTGCTGTTACTAATACTAAAGAAATAGAAGACACAACACAGTATTTAAGAAGCTTACAATCTTAGATGTTCATTGGAAAACATACACAGAGGCCAAAGAAAGACTGAAGGGTGCTTGCAAAGCGTCATGTCCTATTACACTAGTATCACTTGAGCTCAGAATAACCTGTCTCACTCAGTATTTCCTCCTTGCTCGTCATTCAGTCCAGAGACACCAACTGGACTGATGATTACCCACAATAGAGAAGGAAGGCTACACCTGTCTACTGATCAGATAAGTTGAGTCAACTTTGCTGATCATTGAGATAATGGGGATCCCAAGCACATTGCCCAACTATCCTGACAGACAAGAAAAGCATTTCTAATGACGTAACTAGCTTATCCTAGGATGCATGAGGCAAGATTAGGGGCTGAGCTTAGCACATTACTTTGACTAGGCCATGTGGTTTTTTAGGAAAAACAAAAAACAAAAAAAAGAGAGGAGATGGTGAGAGGAGGAACAAAATCTGTGGAAGGTCTAGTCTAGAAGAAAAAGAATTTGCTTGAATCGTCACTTAGTGGCTACAGAGTGACATGCAGGAAGGGACATGCCGGGATTCGAGTGATGGTGTGTGCCGAGTTTGCATTTGGCAGGTGTGAGCCTGTGCTGCTTGAAGTCTCTCTGCAGCGAAATGGCAACTATCATTGATCTTCCTTCCTGTGATCATTTACTAACAGGAATAATCCTGTATCTCTTTGTCACATTGAACTATAAGAGATTGTCCTTTTTTGTGTTTCTTTTTGTTTGTTTACTTTCTCTTTTTAACATACTAATTTAGGTATGTAGTACATGTCCATGTTTTAGAATTCAAAGGGCATAAAAGAATATATTTTGAAAATAGACCATATATATATATATCTATTGGAATGTATTTTGGGAGAAAAGTTAACTTTTAAAATGATTTTCCTTCCATTATCTGAATTTCTGAACTCAATTTGAGTCTGTGAAATCTGAATAATCTGTAAAAAAAAAGGTCCCAAATAAAAACTGAGTTACTCAGAACCTTTATTTGTTCCCCTAAGTATATAAATAAATAAGTAGAACAAAACAGATAAAATAAAAATGGGATATTTCTGACTATGCAGTGATGTCCCAGAATAACAGCGAAGACACAACCATCCATTTTTCAGCTACATTTTTCTATATTAGGCATTACTGCAGAGTGGAAGAATCTAGGCCAACTAGTCTGTTTTCTGACTTCTGGAGTTTCTGGAGTTTAAGGAAGGAAAACAGCTGCCTGTTGCACTCTGGTCTACTGTGAGTTAGCTTTCATTAAGTGGTGCTCATTCCGCTAGCTCATTCAGTCAGTAGCCTGGTGGAGGGAAAACCTGCGTGTTGTCTTTCTCCCAGTTTTAACCCCAGTACTTGTGTTAATTAGAAACCATGTTTCAAAACAGGATATAAAAACGTCTTCAGTTCTGAGGGTCAGCAAGGGTCTGCCCCTGGATTTTTGTGCCATTTTTGCTTTGAGGCAGAGTTAAAGAACAACAAAAGGAAGCAGGATGAAGGAAACACACAAGAGAAAAGGAACAAGTGCACACAGAGGGGATTCCATGTACCTCTGAGGTGTCTCTGTACACAGAGGTACCTACTCCAGGCAGGAACTACTTGCATGATTCGGGATGCTTTTGAAGGTTGCCAGCAAAGACTTAGGAACCTGAGCAGAGGGGTGATGCCTGAGCTGATGTGCCTTGTGGGTGCTCTGTGTGAGCATTGTGTGTATGTGTCAGGGGGTGAAGAGGAAGGTGAGCTGGTTGCTAATTGCTCCCATTCCCATATTTCGGAGGAGGTTTTCAAGTTGGAACTTGTATCACTGCAGGTAAAAGACAGGAGAAAATGTCTGTGGGAGGTTAAAAAGTCTAAGAATTACAGGGGCATCAGGCTAACATGTAGCTGTTACCATTTAGTTTAGTTACCATTTTAGTTCCAGAAAAGGTCATGGTTTTTCACATAAGTACCGTTAATTAATCTGTTAATTAATTTGTCTAGGCACTTGATTCAGTGCTTATTGAAACATTCTCTGGTGCATGACCCTTAACCTGTCAAACCTGTTTAAACTCACTTCCTTTTCCCAGACATTTTGCTCCATCTGTTGTTTTATTTCCTTTCCTATTTCCTTTGTTAATCACTCTTTATTAATAGCCTCTGAGGTTTATCTTGTCCACCATTTTAAAGAAACATCTGCTGGTTAGCTTGATCACTTATGGCAAATAAATTTCTTGTTTGAACTCTATTGACTAAAAATTGATTTCATATTTGAAGTGTACAAAGCCACTGTCTGCTATTTGCTCAGCAAATCTGCTATTTTAAATTATTATTCTATGAGGTATAATATACCATTTATAATAACAAGTAGTTATTTAATGTCATGTTCTGTACCACAGCTGCTGAAAACAATTAAATTGGTTTTAAATGAGCACACATTTGTCTGTTTGCATAGAATTTTTTAAAAATATGTTTGCACATTCAGAGGACTGTTTCTTCTCTAGCCTGTTACCATCGTCGAAATGATTAGGTCTTTTAAAAATTTATCATTTAATCCATTCTGTTTTGGGAAAATAAAAGCTGTCTTCTGACACTAAATTGCACATGAACATTATTAAAGTCTTAAGAATAATGTAAAAGACAGAAACTGGTGGCATTAAGAAGTTTCATGAGCACTTGAAAACTAAGATAATGAAAAAGTAACAAATCGTTGTAACTAAATTAATTTTGTTGTTGTTCTGGGATTTTCAGATTCAAGTGTATATTTTCATTAGTACCTGATTTTGGGATTCAAATCACTGAGTTATTTGAATCAGTTTTACATTTTCCTGTTAGCATATGAGTTGAAAATGTATTGGCGGTGGGCAGATGGAAGTTAGTGAACAATGATCATGAAAAAATGATCATGTACAAATTCAGTGAAAACTGCCTTCACCTCTCAAGTGAAAGGTGAGGTGTGTCAAAGTTCTTCTGTTATCATGTAAATATTATACGCTCATGGGACTAAGTGGAAGGTAATTTAGGACCAGGAAGCACTAGAGAAAGAATAAAGGCAATTTTCTGTTAATGTACTTTTAGTCACGCATTGCTTTCTCCTTGAGGTGCCCTGCATGATTGATAGGACTTATCTCATTAATTTTTACTTTACGAGTTAGAGAATGAGATGGTGGGTCATTTTCTTGATTCTGTCTCCTTTATTCATCTTGTCCTGCACTGTGACTCAGCCTATATTTCCATGCTTATATCCCAGACCTTGCCATCATCACCAAATCCTCCCCTTCCACGATCTCAATACTAAGCACCCATGTCTTAAACTATCACCTCCTGTTTTTCCAGCTCATTCCTCCTGGTACCCCAACCCCAACAATCCTCCAACCTGGTTGTTACCTACAAGTCATTAATTCTACTACCTTTTCACTGTTTACAAGCCATCTTGTCTCCCTTGCTTTACCCACCTTAAATTTCAAGGTCAGTTGTCCTGAGCACGTGATTGTCAGCTCATTTGGCCTTTTCTCCTTCTGTTGCTTTTCTTTTATAAGGCCCTGGTTAAACCTACCTCTCCACAGTAGAACATGGCTGGAAAAAAACACACAACTTGCTCACTATTCTTACTTAAAGTTCATGACCATTGGATTCAAGTTGGTCTTCCATGCTGCCAGAAGATAACATTATTTTCTCTGTTCCCTTCCTTCTCCCTCTTTTCTAAAGGACTATTTCATACCTACTCCTTTGTCTGTGTACATTCAGTACCTCCTCTCCTGTCCTCACTTTCACCGATGATCTTGCTCTGTATTTTATTGGGAAATGAGGGAAATGAGAAGGGGACTGCCATGTACTCCAAACATCACATCACTCTTCTACTTGTACTTGGGGCTGTGTATGTGGCCTGTGCTCTCGTTGATGTTGGAGGATTGTTTGTGCTTCTAAGAACCACTTTTCCATTTGTGCTGTACATTTATATTCTGTATCTCCTCATCTGCTATATCATTCCCATTATACCAAAAACACATGCTCTAATTTTTCTCTTCTTCAGTATCCCTGTCTTTACCCCTCTACTACCTTTTGTCTTTGTTCTTTTCAGTGAAACTTAATAAAAAGAAATGTCTGTGCTCACTCTTTCCAGTTCCTCTCCCTGTCAGGGCCTTGGTCCATAATGCCAGGGGGGCAACATCACATTGTGAATCCAGGCCACACTAGTCACTTAAAATATAACATATATGGTGTTCCATGGAGTTGGCATTAGTCTCTTGAACCACCTTCAATCAAGCACTTGTCTATTCCTTTCTTCTCTACCAGAACTGCTCTTTTCAAAGTCCCCAGTACAACCAGTCTAGAGCTTCTTCTTAGTGCTCATTTTCTTAATTTAAGCAGCAGCCCTTTCCAGTTGATTACTTATCTTTGAAACACTATTACCTCTTAGCTTTTAGGACACCATATTCTACTGGTCTTTCTTCTCTTTGGTTAATTCCTCCTCATCTTCCAGACCTCTGAACATTGGCATGGCCAGGACTTAATTTTCATTACTTTTCTATTTTTGATCCACACTCGCTCTCTTGGAGATCTTATCTAGATTCATTACATTAAAAACCAGCTGAGGACTCTCAAATGTGGTGCATACTCCTTCCCTAAAATCCAAATTCATATATTTAACTATTTGCCTGATGTGGCCTCTTGAAAGTCAGTGGACTTATCAGAATCAAGATCTCGAACCCAATGTTTGTTCTTTTGCCTCAATCCTGATGCTTCTGAAGTCTTCTCTCTTTCTCAGTAAGTGGCAACTCTATGCTTCCAGTAGCTGTTCAGGAAAAAAGATTTAGAGCCATTCCTGTCCCTCTCTTTCTGTCCTATACCATATCTAATCTGTTTGCAAGTCTTTCACATTTTACCTTTAAAGTATATCCAGTATACTTTACTGGATTTCTCCATTTCTATTGTTATATCCTGGCCCATGCTACCACTGTCTCCCGTTTGTCCCCTTGCCTCCATTCTTGTCTGCTCTCCCTCTCATTCTTATTCTACGGTCTTTTCTCAACACAGCAGCCAAAATGAACCTTCAAAAAATACGTCAGACTGTGACATCTCTCTGATCATAAACTTCCAGTCATTTCCTGAGTCATTCAGTATACAACTTATGTCCCTATCATGTCACAAGGCCTTACCTGACTGGGCCAGTCTGCCCTCCCTCTCTGCTCCAGTCCTACTGGCCTCCTTGCTGTTTTTAACACTCTGGGTGTGCTCCTCTTGCCCTAGGACTTTTGAACTTACCTTGCTTTGGAATTCTCTTTCCACTGATATCTACATGACTCACTCTTTTGCTTCCTAGAACTTCATGCCTTTGCTGTGATACTCTCTTTTTTTTTCACTGAGTCCTTCCCTGACCTTGCCATATTTAAAACTGAAATGTCCTCTTTTTCCTGAGCACTCTCGGCTCTATTTTTCACCACAATACTTAATGACCATCTGACAGACTGTGTTTGCGTATGCTGGCCAATTTACTGTCTTTCTTTCCCCATGGGAATATAAACTGTATGAAGACAGGGAAAGGGATACTCTTAATTTTCTTTATAGTGCTAGATGGTGCCCAGCTCATAACAGTCACTTTATAAATGTTTGTTGAAAAAAATGAATGTAGATTCACAATTGTATTCACTTTAAATCTGATATTAAACTAATTTATACAATTCTAAGGGAATCATGATTTTTGAGGCAAATTTAATATGACTTGATCCAAACAACAAATAATTTTCTAAGAAAATGGTTATGGTTTGCTCATGGAGTGCCTTTAGAAATGTACATTTAAAAAATCTATGCACTTGGTTTCTAAATTCATATTGTATAAGTGGGCGGGCTCTCCAACGGGTTTGCACACTTACCTATGTCTTTCACCTACCTCTGTAGATATGAACGCTACAATCAGGAGGATCGACCAGTTAACCAACATCTTGGCACCCATGGCTGTTGGCCAGATTATGACATTTGGCTCCCCAGTCATTGGCTGTGGTTTCATTTCCGGGTGGAATTTGGTGTCCATGTGTGTGGAGTACTTTCTGCTCTGGAAGGTTTACCAGAAAACCCCTGCTTTAGCTGTGAAAGCTACTCTTAAAGTAGAAGAAGCTGAGTTGAAACAGCTGAATTTACACAAAGGTAAATTTAACACAATGATCAACTCTTTTGTTCTGATGTCCAGACCTTAAATATTGGTGGAGACCAAACTAAGTTGAATTTCCATCAGATTTTATTACCACTGAAGGCCAGCATGAGGCTAAGTATGTCACTTTGGTAGCTGAGTCAAAACCCAAGTTTTGAGGGTCTGAAGAAGTACTCTGAGGAAGGGGTTGGAATGGGACCTCTGACCCTTTTCCTGAATGGGAGCAGTAGACACAGAGGGGTGATTACTTGGGGGAAAACTGGGCAAAGTTAAACCATAAGAATAGGAAGAAAAATGAGAACAACAGAATTCCTAGCAGTCCATGAAGAAGGGAGTTACATGCTATATGTAGGCAATTTGTAAGACAGTGAAAAGAAGAAGTGAGGATGTGAAGGTGGATATTTCTCAAGAAGAGGATGATGGACTTCTGGACAAATGGAATCTTGACAGGGCCCCAGAAAATAAGATGCTTTGTTTTTCCAGAAAATGATTGTATTTTTATCTGATGAGTTTTACTTTGGTGGGAGTATAATTTCAAAGAGAGTATGTGAGTAATTGAGATCAATAGTATTTTATTTATTTAATGTAATTGCTGCTTGGAGATTGTTCCTTGGCTGTACTTCTTAGATTATTAAAGAAAATACATGTTATATTGTTGGAGCCAAGGTTACCCGTGGGGGAGGGAAGGAGGAGAAGAAAAGTACTGAGTAAAATAATTGGTTTTTTCCCCATGCCTTCACCCCTAAATAATGATGTATTTTATTAACAGAAACTGAGCCAAAATCCCAGGAGGCAACTCATCTAATGGGTGACAAAGACCCTAACATCCGTGAGCTTGAACATGAGCAAGAGCCAAGCTGTGCCTCCCAGATGGCTGAGCCCTTCCGCACCTTCCGAGATGGATGGGTCTCCTATTACAATCAGCCGGTGTTTCTGGCGGGCATGGGTCTTGCTTTTCTCTATATGACTGTCCTGGGCTTTGATTGCATCACTACAGGGTACGCCTACACTCAGGGGCTGAGTGGGTCCATCCTCAGTTTTTTGATGGGAGCATCAGCCATAACTGGAATAATGGGAACCGTGGCTTTTACTTGGCTACGGCGAAAATGTGGCCTGGTTCGGACTGGTGTGATCTCAGGATTTGCACAATTTTCCTGTTTGATCTTGTGTGTCATCTCTGTGTTCATGCCTGGAAGCCCTTTAGACTTGTCTGTTTCTCCTTTTAAAGATATCCAGTCTAGGTTCATTCAAGTAGAGCCACTACCCACAAATAGACCTACAGAAAGTCCTGACGTCATCTCAACAACTGAAATGCACATGTCAAATAGGTCTGTTTCTGCTGATGTTGCCCTAGGGATGAGTTTTCACTCTGAGTCCATAATCTCTGTCATTCTGCTGTTTGCAGGCGTCATTGCTGCTAGAATCGGTAAGATATCTCCTTTTGTGTATCAATGAACTAAAGTGTCTTTTTGCAGTATGGGTTCAGAGAATTCAACAATATTCTCTGAATGTTAATTTAAGCAAAATCCACTTTTCATCCTTATGTATAATCCAGTCTTTTATTGTGACATTTTTATTTTATAGTTTAAAAACTTATATTCGTTTATATATAGGTATATATATATGTGTGTATATATATATATGTGTATATGTGTATATATATATATATATACACATATATATATACACATATATATATATATATACACATATACTTTTATAAAACATTAGAGCTTGAAAAATTTGTTCTAAATGGGTATCTTAAGTGTTTATCTTTTTAATGTTATTTAATTAATTCCTAAAAAGATATTAGCTATTATAATTATATTGCCATTTAATAATTTAGAGTCTCTTATTGCTGTAACTTTACCAATAGGACTATAATTTAGAGACTATTTCTATGGTACAAGGCAAAAAGATAGGGTTTTTTTGTTTAATTTTTTTAAAGACATGTAATTAGGAAAAAAATCTCTTTGAGGTCCTCTCTAGCTGATGTGTGTTATATGCTTGACCAAATGGATTTTATAGCTCTGGAAGGAAACATAATGGAGACTTTTTACAAAGCAAAATTTAAGTAATCATTAATAGAGTACTGATGAATTATCTCCTCCTGAATTCATTCTTGGAATGAAACTGTATTTTATCTTGTGATACAAAGCACTTTATTAATTTATCAAAGACATTAATATTCAGGTAAGACAGTTTTATTGTAGTGGCTTTAGAACCCAAGCAGTAAATGTAATAATGGTTTGAAGTTTCCTTACACTTTAACCATAACAATATATAGGTCCGTTTATTTTCAACTTGGAAACTAGTACAATCATGTGCTGCTTCACGAGGGGGATATGTTCTGAGAAAGGTGTCCTTAGGTCATTTCATTGTGTGATTATGATAGAGTGAATTTATACAACCCCACATGGCACAGACTATTGTTCCCAGACTCCAAGTCTGTACAGCATGTTACTGTGCAAAACAACACGAGATTAAATCAGGCACAAAAGAAAATAATTCAATCAAGAAATGCAGTAGCAGGGGATATATGAGGCTGTGGCCAGCATAGAATGACACACTGTTTCACAGAAAACTTTCTTTTGTAAGTAGAAAGAATATACTCTAAAATAAGGATAAAAAGTATAGTATAGTATATGCATAAACCAGTAACATAGTCATTTATTATCATTACCAGGTATAATATGCACTGAACATAATTGCGTGTGCTATACATTATACATCTGTTAGTGCAGTAGGTTTGTTCGTACCAGCATCACTGCGAACATATAGTACATTGCACTACCATGTTTCCATGGCTATGATGTCACTAGACAGTAGGAATTTTTCAGCTCTATTATACTCTTATGGGATCATCATTGTATATGCTGTTGTCATTGACTATAACATCATTATTCAGCATAATTATGTCTCTGATTTCAGAGTTTTATTTTCATAATATGAATAATCATAGAAAAACAAAATTAAGAAGTTTGTTGATTAGGCTTATATTTGTCTGGTGGCTGTAAAAATCATTTCCTAGAGCCATGAATAACCCAGTACTTATTAATGCAAAATAATTCTCTAAGGCAAGGCTATAATAAATATATATATGGTGACTTTAAAGTAATAGGGATAAAAATGTGTGTTTTCACATGTCAACAGATCTTTAACCTATAAATCTGAAGTATATGGCTATAAATTTTAGAGGGTAAATATCTAAAAAATATGTTTTATTATAGGTCTTTGGTCCTTTGATTTAACTGTGACACAGTTGCTGCAAGAAAATGTAATTGAATCTGAAAGAGGCATTATAAATGGTGTACAGAACTCCATGAACTATCTTCTTGATCTTCTGCATTTCATCATGGTCATCCTGGCTCCGAATCCTGAAGCTTTCGGCTTGCTTGTGTTGATTTCAGTCTCCTTTGTGGCAATGGGCCACATCATGTATTTCCGATTTGCCCAGAAAACTCTGGGAAGCAAGCTTTTTGCCTGTGGTCCTGAAGAAAAAGAAGTTACAAATGAAGATCAAGCTAGTACATGTGCTGTGTAAGACAGTTTAACTGTTTTTATCCCTGTTACTAGATCATATAGAGCATGTGTGCTTATTTTGTACTTCAGAATTTCAGTAAATGGCTAGGTGTCTCTCTCTCTGGTTTTACCACAACTGTATCTTGAGGGCTAAATGCTATTTAGGAAACCTATGTCAGCTGAATGAACTGGGTAATTTCCCTTATATTTAAGGATGAAAAAAATAGGAAAAGAAAAAAGTTTAAATGTGGAAACTAAAATGGCAACACTAATTTTCCCTATTTTTCATGAGTAGATAAAATTTTATATAAAAAGAGAGTGGTCAGGCACATGAATTAAGTTATTCTCTGGCAAATATTTATCATCTACACTAGAATTCAGATACGTCAGTTTTCCCCCAAACTCACTCTCGTTCAACTCTAGCTAATTTATTTTTCTTTGATATTTTATTCTGTTATGTTATAAAAACAAATTCTGCCCCAAGCATGACGATTAAGATTTGATAACCAGTGTTATCCTTATCGATCCTACTGATCTTAAGGAATTTACATATATGTGGGAAAACAAAATATTTCTCTAGAATTCTCTAACAAGGTTAGGGTTTAACTTTAGAGAGCACCTTGTTTTTATTATCAGATAAGGCAAAATATTGTAGTATATGCAGCACTTTGTAAACATAGTCATTTATTCTCTAAGGCAGTCATTTATTCTCTATCGGGTAAGTTGCAGGTAGAAGCAAAGCTGTCAGGTAGGTTTATAACACAGTGAACGCATAATAACTTCAAATATGCCAATAGTTTGGCCGTAGAAACCAGAAGCTAAAAGTTGCATAGAAGGGCAAAGATCTGAATTTAACTCCCGTCCCTCTCATTAATGATCTCTATCCTGGAATATGAGGGAGTCAGCTTTCTGCTTGGCAGGTTAAATGTAGAAAGCAAGCCCACACTTGGAAAGGTTTTATTTTGCCAATCACTTGATTTATTAGGAACATGCTGGGGTAAAGCATTTTTGCTTTTACTGTTTTGTAACCAGGAGTTATTTTTACCTAGTTGTTGAGCAAAACTGTCCATAAATGTTTTCCTTTTCAATGTCTCTGAAAAGAATGTAAGGGGGAAAAAAGACTTTTGTATATATTTTTAAAAACTGTTTTACAAGTCCTTTTGCAACATGCCAGTACCAACATGGTACTTTGCCTTAACCGTTCATGCACTTTCATGGAGACTGCAATATGTTCCTCTGAGCACTTTCTTAAGCCTTTGATGTTTAATCTTTTTCTTCCATGGTATGACATGATGATTTGCCACATTGTAAAATCTTTGTGAAATATTTCTATATAAATATATTTGTAAAATCTTCATTCCTTTTTCCTGAATTGTGTTCTTTAATGATTTATAATCACTTTTTTTCACAGATAATCTGTTTTGGATAATGTATTTTTTTCTCTATAAAGGGCTACAGTTTCATAATGACTCATCATTTTTAGTGTTACCTCTCATTTATAGTGGCTTGGGTAAAACTGTAGTGAACATGAGGCCCATCCTCTTTCTTTGACCTTGAAAAATCATGTTAAGCTCCCCAAGTTCTATTTTCTCTTCTGTAAATGGGAGATCACAGTGTAAAACCAACCCTCCCTACCCTATAACTTTCCTAGTTGAGTCAAATCATGTGGAAGCTGACAGACAAGGTGGTTAGTATTCTATTACTAGAAGCTGAACCTAATTAATGGCAGCTAAAGTAGACTCCTGCTGACAGTTCAGAGTGTGTAGAACCACGTTCTATATTCAGCATGTTTTACTGATCTGTGCCCCAAACTTATTGGTCCTGGGATGCAGCTGTGACTCAGACATAGTTGATCAGAGGCTCCTTTTCTTCGCCATAAAATTGGAAGCTTGAGAACTTTTGGCATCACACTTTAGCTACTGATCTGCTCATGACTTTTGTACAGACTGTAGATGCCTCTGTTAGGCTTGGCTGCTGTCTTGAACAAGTCATTCGCTCTCTCCCACAGGAGATGAGCTGGGGTTGGAGATCTGCCCTGAGCATTTGCAGCTGTAACTGAGGGCCTGCGGCCTTGTAAAATGAACCATATTAACAAAGGAAGGTCTCAGCAACTAATATGGGCAGGGCCTGTGTAGGAGGAAGGAGCATGAAGTTGCAGAGTTAATAGGAATCTTTACAGCTGCCTCTCTTATCTTTGCAGAGTACTGTTCAGAGCAGGAAGAGGAGGAAAGTGGAAGAGAATCTGGTGGGCTCCACAGCCTTTGCTGTTTACTGCCCAAGGGCATAGTAGTAGGCTAGGGGTAGACGATGAAGTGGATATCTATCTGCAATAGGGTGTGTTTCTAAACGGGAGGACAAACTCAAATACCTACAGGGTCAATTACAGATACAACTGAGTGAAGTAGATCGGTCATAGGAAAAGTCACAGAAGTATTACATTTCAGTGTGTTTCCACTTCATAAACAAATTCCTCACATTTTTCCCATGTTTGTTGCTATTTCATGCAGTCTTCTTATTGTGGTTATTCAGATCTTTCTTTGAAGGCATCCCTTGTTTGCGGATTAAACACAGGAACGCTAGCTGTATTCATTTCCATAAAGAAATATGCCTAGTTCCATCTTTTTTTCTTAAAACATCTGGCTTGCTTGATATTCCTCTTATTACTGACCCCCCTTTTTTTTAAAGGAAGATAAGGGTGTATTTAAGTTTCCTATTTACCATAAGACAAAAGTGTAATGCGCAAGGGCGCTAAATGGAGCAAGGCCCTGGAAGGGCTGCTGGGGAGGCAGCAGAGTGGTCCGAGCTGTGAGCTGGAGAGCAGGCTGCAGGCTAAGAGGGCAGGTGCCCACTGTCCCACCTGCCCTCCAGGAATGTGGGCACCGTGCCTTCACATCTTTTTTTTTTTTTAATTTTATTTAGTTATTTTTCAAGTACAGTTTTTTGTCTATTTTTCCCATCCCAGCCTCCCCTGCCCCTTGCTCCCCACCTCCCTCCCATTTCCTCCCCCCCCTTAGTTCTCGTCCCTGTGTCCTTCCTATTTGTTCCTCCAAATCCCTCCCCCTTTTTCCCCTTAACTTCCCTTCCTTCTCCCCTCTGGTCACTATCCCCTTGTTCTCTATTTCAGTGTCTTTGTTTTTTTGGTTTTTTTTTTTTCTGCTTACTTGTTTGTTTTGTTGTTTAGCTTCCTGTTAAAGGTGAGATCATATGGTATTTGTCTTTCAGCACCTGGCCTATTTCACTCAGCATAATGCTTTCCAGTTCCATCCATGTTGTTGCAAAGGGTAGTAGCTCCTTCTTTCTCTCTGCAGCATAGAATTCCATTGTGTAAATGAATGGAGCCTTCACATCTTTTGATCTTTCAAGAGAAGCTGGGAATCTGAAGTTGGGTGTTTAATCTCCAAGTTTTTAAATACTGGAAATGAATCCTAGGCCAATAAAAATACATTTGTGGGCTACCTGTGAGTCACCTGTGTGCTGGTGTTTTCTTGAGCTTTTCTCTTAGAAGATGGTTTGTGAAGAAGAGAATGGTATTTGAATAAAGTGTAGGAGGAGAGAAGGGATTTATACAAAAGTTGGGAGTACAGAGAACAAGAAAGAAATGGACAAACACATTCGAGGTGGAAAATATTCAATTATTAGGCATTTAATATCAAATAATCTATGGATTTATTACCTGCCATATTTAAGGTCAATGAAAATTCTGTTCCATAGCCCCTTAATTCATGTGTTGTTTGCACTGATGAGGGTGAAAGGATAATGACTATTTAATTTTTAAAAACTTAAAGTTTGAATTATAAGCCTAGAATTCTGTTTTCACAAAGAAAGCACAGATTTTTAAATTGTCCAGGTCCTGTTTTCCTGTCCCTGAATTCTTTTAAGTCCTCATTGTAAACAGTTTAATGTATCTTTATAGATAATTTCTTTTAAGTGAAGATTTAAAAAATAACTTTACATTCTCATTTGGTTGGTTTACCAAGATAATATTGACACCCAGCTATATCTGTTGACTGATCAATCAATGTATATTTTTCCCCCAAACTCTGAGCATTAAAGTCATGTCTGCATTAATATTATTATTGATATAATAACTAAAAACTTTAAAATATAGAACAGAATAATTAAAAACTTTAAAAACATAAGAGTAGATATACAAATTACCTAGCTTAATGTGTTTACCGGGATTGAGAAATAAATTTAGTTTGATATTCCTTTCGGCCAAGACTAAAGATGGCTGAGTTTTACCTTTTTCCCAAATGATGCTTACTTGAAACCCTTTATTATTTCAGTTAAACATTGCCTTTTTTAAAAAATTAATTTTATTTATTTATTTTTCAAGTACAGTTTTTTGTCTATTTCTCCCATCCCAGCCTCCCCTGCCCCTTGCTCCCCACCTCCCTCCCATTTCCACCCCCCTTAGTTCTCGTCCCTGTGTCCTTCCTATTTGTTCCTCCAAATCCCTCCCCCTTTTTCCCCTTAACTTCCCTTCCTTCTCCCCTCTGGGGACAGTAAACATTGCCTTTTTTATTGTTGTTCAGTTACAGTTGTCCCCCACTGCTCACCTGTACCCTGTTCCCCTCACTCCCACAGTCAATCTCCCCTGTTGTCCGTGCCCAAGAGTCTTCTATTCATGTTCCTTTGCTTGCCCCTTCCCCTTCCTTCTTTTAAAATAATGCCTCTTTTTATCATTTAATCTGCCTTTCAGAGAAATCTTTGCTATCAGAATATTTTTGTTTGACACAATAGCAATTCGAGAATAGAGTTGAAATGTTAGAAGAACCTTGTGACATTGTCTACATCAATCACAAACTAGTCTGGCTGGGCTGCAATCAGTCATACTAGAAAGCTAAATGACTTTTCCCCTTATATGGAAACTTGTTTACATTTTCAAGTCCAAAAGGGAGCAAATATTTTATTTAAAGAATGAACAGGGACTTACCTAAGAAGATAAAAAAGATGAACGGTGAAAGGACAGCAATCTCACAGTTATTAACAACCACATCTAAAACAAAAGCAAACTAAGAGGACAGCTAGATCAGGAGTGAACCATAGAAATGAAGATCACGTGGAGGGTTTGCAACAGGAGAGTGGGGGAAAGAGAAGGGGGGAGAAAGCACAGAAAATAAGTAGCATAGACAGTAGATATAAAATAGGTAGGGGGAGGGCAAGAATAGTAGGGGAAATATAGAATCTAAAGAACTTGAGACATGTGTTCATGAACTAAAGGGGAAGGAATGGTGGGGGAGGGGTGTGCAGGGTGAAGGGGAATGAAGGGGGAAATAGAACAGATGTAATGGCATAATCAATAAAAATATTTTTTAAATATGAGATTAAAAAAAGAATGAACAAAATAGAGTTCAAAGTATAAGTACATGCTTCTTTTCCATGTTCTTCACCCTGGCCTCTAGATGAGTAGTATATATTTTTCTAATTGAACATTTTCCTTATTGTATTTTACTAACTCAGACATGCACTAAAAAGTTTCTAAAATAGTTATGTTCAAAGTTATCTTAGAGACTGGTTGTCCTTGACTCATGGGTGCAGTTGCAGTGATAATAGTACCACAGTTAACCTAATTAATTATATTGAAGATGTAAGTAGATAAATATGTTTTATAGTAAATAAAATACCTCAGGAGAAATACACATTTTGAGTCCAACACTTTCATCAATCAGCCACCACAGCCCCTCTCCTGAAATATGTGTTTTGAAGAACTCATTTTCAAAGACCTTACAATAAATTTAATAAGTGGGACATAGTCACATAGTAGATCATACCTGAAGTAATATTTGAACTTATGTATATATATTCTAGAAAAATTGGTGATTCAATAATAGCTTTAATTTTTATTTAGTACAATGTAATGACCAAATAGATATATATATCTTCTTATCTACTTATTCTGAGACATTAAAAATGTTTTATTGTTTATGCTATTATAGTTCAAAGTATTTTCCCCTTTGCCCCCCTCCTGACAATCTGCCCCCAGTTCCATAGTCAATCCCTACACCATTGTCCATGTCCATAGGTCCTTCACATATGTTCCTTGACTAATGCCTTCACCTTCTTTCAAACAGCCTCCACCTCCCTTCTCCCCTCTTACAGCTGTCAGCCTTTTCTATGATTCTATGTCTCTGGTTCTATTTTGCTAATTAGTTTATTTTGTTCATTAGATTCCTCTTATACATGAGATTATGTGGTATTTGTCTTTCACTGACTGGCCTATTTCACTTACCATGATAGTCTTCAGTTCTAACCATGCTGTCACAAGAGGTAGGATTTTTTCCTGCTGCATAGTATTCCATTGTGTAAATGAACCATGGTTTTTGAATCCACTCATCTACTGATGGGCACTTAGGC